ATAATTTATTATCATATACAGATAATAATAAAGAAAATTATCATAAAGATTTAAATATAATAGATGAATCAACTGAAGGAGATATGGAGTTATTTGATGACTTGATTGATACAACTGAAAAGGCACTTACTCTCCTAAAGGAAAATCAGCTGGTAATATTAAGTGGTGTAAAAGTGCAATGAAATCCTTTAATGGTATTATTAAATTAGTTAAAGAAGTTGAACAATATCAAAAAAAGAGAACTATGCCATTAACATGGAAAGATCATACAAATAGCACTCGTTATTTGCATTAAAATGATTAATATGTTATATAAATATTTAACAAATAAAATTTATATTTTATTATTATAATTACATTTTGTAATTCAATAATTAATAAATGAATAAATTGTGTAAAATGTATGAAAGCCATTAAAGAAAAAAATTTATTTTCGGCCGGATAATTTAATCAACCGAATAATTTAACGGACTAAGCCACACAAAATCACGTGCCCTAGCTTTTTTGATGGTGACGCTGGGGGAGTTCTATATTTAATACACACTTTGACAATTTAATTGTTTTACCAATAAATACTTTTGTTTTATAAAACAAAAAAAAATTGTTTGTAAATTATTCCACCGGTATAAAAAAAGTATCAAGCCGTTAAAGCATAGTATATGTTGTTATTATGCAGCCAAATAGAAACATGTCGTTTTTAACATACTAATATTTTAGATTATTGCATAAGATACGGAAATCATCATCTCATCCATGGCTCATTCGTAAATTACAGTTTTAAAATTGTTAATAACAACGATCAATCGTATATTCTTCGTAAATCTACAGTACTTACTCTCACAACAAATAGTGGTAATACTAGTAATTCGTTTCAGAGATTGCATTATCGATGTTTAAATTTTACTGTACATGTGGTAAAACCTATTTTCTTAAGAGATATTTGTATGCAATTTCCATAAATATACATTCGACACATTCAATTGATTTATCTCATTAATGATCAAATTAAGTTTTAACAATTTTTTCAGATGAATATAATTTGATTTGTAGATCTGGCAAACTTATACCAATTAAATTGCATTTGAAAAAATATTTTGTTTAATAAACAATCATTAATTATTAAACTTGATATCGTGAGTCGTGAGATAGTACAAACATCTCATTCAAATAAATGTATGATTGGACAATCAATAGCGATATCATGATATCATTGATACTCCTGATCTCAAAGATTCCCAATCCTGTAATCCACTATTGGAATTATCAGGGATAATAGATTTTCCGATTCCTACATAGTCGCGCATTAAGAGAATTTATCAGTAACCTAATATTTTGATTTACCATACGACTCGTCGTTTTTACTGTTTTTATTTAAATCATTTATTTAAAATGATTGAATATTTAAATTTATGAACTCATGAGACCAATTTTATTTGGAAATGCTAAAATATAAAATAGTATTTTGTTTCAATTAAAATAAAAAGTTATCGTTGGAATTTTTTTTCACGATCTGAAACGATGCGCTGTTAATATTTATTATAAATTTTATTATTTAAAAAAGAAATTATTAAATAATTAATAACAAATCTCCAACTACAAATTGATCCTATAAAAAAATTCTGTAAAGAACTCCGATAAACGATCATTTTTCTAAGATTCTGAAGAAACTCAGACACGTGATCATTTTTCTGAAAGATTTTTTGTCACCACTATAATTTATCAGAAATTTTTTAAAAATACTAAAGAATTTTATAATAAAGAATATAAAACTAATTTTTAAATAAAATAACTTGAGATAAGGATTATAAAATTAGTTTTGAGGACGAGGTTTACCGTAAGGTAAAGTGGAAGTACAAAGTATCAATCACCCTTGTTACTTTGAAATTAGAAGAAATGTAAATTTAAATAAATAAATAAATACATATATAATCGTTTAATAATTATATTTAGTTGTTAATTGTTGAATACTTACTATTCAAGCTTGAAGTTTTAATTTTCAAGCCGGAAAATGATTGGAATGTGGAAACAAGGCCCAGTTTCATCTTGTTCTTTTATACAAATGGAATTAGAGGAAAGATAAGTGTAAATATGTAATCTTATAATATAATAATTATAATTATATATTTAAATTGTTGAATACTTACTAACTACTTTCCAGCTTGATTGAAGTATAACTCTCAAGCCGATAACTGATAAGAATTCAGGTATGGAAAATAAGGACTTGTTTCATCTACAAACGGAAATAAAAAAAATATTAAACATCAATATGTAATCGTATAATCGTACAATATAATAATTATGTCTTAATAATTAATGAATACCTACTAGCCACTTTTCGGCTTGAAGTATAACTTCCAAGACGATAAAGGACCTCGTTCTACCTTGCTTGTTATTCTATACAAATTTACATATTAACAGTCAATTTAAATTGTACAGTTATTTATGGTTTTGATAATAAATCTTCACAATTATTCAATGAGTAAAATAAAAGGTCATTGTATCAACTTTTATACAATGAAAACTAATGAAAAAATTAAGAGTGGCATGATATAATGGAAATAGACATTAATATGTATTATATCTATTAACAATCTATTGGCTTTAACGCATTATTAAAAAAAAAAATCAGAAAATTTTATATCTGTATTATATATTATACCGATCTATTATTATTAGAACAAATAATTATTTATTTACCAAGAAATTTTTTTACATCCAAGTGATCGGCAAAATTTCTTTTTGTTTTTTTTTTTTTAATTAAGATAGTTATATGAAGGCTAGAACTGCGAAACTTTGTTATGTATAATTTTGAATAATTAACAAAATAAGATTCCCGCTACTTTGTATATAATATATATAGTATATATATGTAATGTATATTAAATTATTCATGAAATTTTTATAAATGAAAAAGCAAAAAATTTTATTATTTGCAGTTTTAATCTATTGTACACTTAAAATAGATTTCATTCATAAGAGTTTACACTACAATATGTTCTATTGATCAGATGGTCACTGTTGGGTGAACATACCATCTGTTTAATTCTGAGGATGATCCTCTAATATACAAATAGACAGTAAATGCTTTAAAACAAAATATGGTTTATTAAAATATAGTTAAAAAATCCATTGCTTAATAGTATAATCAGAAGAGTGATTAAACATCTCATTTTATAAATCCTCAAGACCTATCTAATCTATTTATCATAATGGGAAAAACTACTTGCCCAATAATATATAATATGTATCAAGTGGAGCAAGTGGAGTAAAGAATCCAAACAGCAGCCCATTTATGTATTTAATCTATTAGGCTGGATAGTTTCACCAATTTGACCTTTATTGGCTTATTTTGTGGTAAGGTTAATTGTTGTGTTATTCATTTGGCATTCCTGTCACGGAAATTATTTTTTTTTTACTTGATGAAATTCCTAACAAATCATCTTAGATAGTGAAGCAATCGCAAAATCATCGCCATCAATGATTGCATCTTCCTCATCAAGAGTTATAGTAGCTGTTATCACGTTTAACAAGGAAGAGGCGGGTTAATAGGAGCTTTGGATTTAGAGATTTTTTTATATCAACATCAGATTTTATGAAAGAAATTCTAATCAACTCAAAATTTAAAGTAGAAATCCAAGTTTTTGTCCAATCACAACATATGAAGGTTTAGAATGTAACACGACACTTATGATGCTGATGAGATCTTTTAGTTTCTACATATTCCTAAATATATCGTTAATAGAAGATCTTCAGTTTCATGCGCGTTTACATTTATTACAGTAGCACTGAGCCATAGTGTCACTCATTAGTCTTTAATCTCGATTGCTTCTTGTTTGTTTTAGCATTTTACGATAGGAAGTAAAACGAAGGTTTGCCAAGTAATCACATTCCTGCATTTTAAGGTATTTCTTTCTTCAACTTTTATAAAAATAGTACTGATCAACACTGAGCTATCTTGAACTTAATATTTGTTCGTCCTTTTCCGATACCTTATTCATCGCCATCATCATCTGTACTATTTTTCTATTTTTTTTTTGATCGGAAAGATTCAATAGCACGATTATTAGAAGGTTATATAATACTACATTTTGTTCATGTTTCGTTTTTTTGGGAGGTAAAGTGATGTTCTAAAATCAATCATCATCACCAATCTTTAGAATTTTTTCGGTTATTGCTTGGTGTTTCTTCTGTAGTTTTTCTCGAATACCTAAGTCTAGTAGAACTTGTGTATTAGAGCGCTCTTATTCTTTCCTTAGTTGTTAACATTTAGTTCATTTTCTTTTTTTTTCGATTAAAGTAATTGAGAGCGATATAGAGTATGTTTTGAAGCTTATGAAGTGGAAGCTTTGGAGGCATTGTAATCGGAGAGTTCTTCGTCTGAATTCTGGCTGAACTAGAATTAATTAATATAATTAAGAATTCTTTATTGTAATATATAATTAATAATTATTCAATAATTTTTGTTTATAACTCACGTATATACTGTACACGCTCAATTCTCACAATGAGAGCATCAAAAATAAGAATATTTACTTTCTGATAAACATATACATTTTTTGGGTCCCAACCAAAAATCTTGTTATCACTACGAACTCCATTAATAGCAAATCTTTAAATCATCGGACTTTAAAGATTGTTAGGATGCCTTTTGCATTCTGAAAACATTTTTTCATAAATTAGGGAATTGATTCTATTTTCTTATCATGAAAGACGTTAAAATATGTAAAAGCCTCATAATAATATTTTTACATCTGCTAATCAACCACTTTAAAAACGCCAACCAACTACAAAGTTACGGTACAAAACTTATATTAAAAAAATAGCTAGCTATATATAATTTAATATTTTATTTATTAGACTTCAACAGTTAACATTATAATTTTAAAAAATGAAATGTAACATCAGTTATTGGACACACAAAACGTTATCAGATTATCACGTGCACTGTGTAATAATCAAGATGATACAAGTGAGTTACTCTGGAGAAACTCTGTTATGCTGGTCCTTACAAGTGTCACTGTTAGTCTGTTACTAGATGTTCTCTCTGAATAATGTCAGAACACCTTAGTCAGAACCTGGCTGCTCCGGTTCCTGATGTACCCGAACCAGCCAAAACAGACGATAGCGCTGCGAAAATATCTGGAATCGCTTTGTTTAAACGAACAAGTATTAAGTCGTGAGCTATTGCTTCGTCTTGTGACGTATATGCTGGATTGCTTTGTTACTCAAGCATGGTGTCGCCCTTTTATTAAACCTGTAGACGAAACTTCTTGCATTTACCGCAATATCATTACACCTCTGATGGATTTGACAACGGTTGAACATAATCTTTGGGCAGGAAAATACGATGTTGAAAGTTTCAAATTCTATGATGATTTATTTATAATGCATTCAAATTCCATCCATAATATTCAAAGAAGCAGATTCGATGCTTACGTGTTTTTTCAATTTAACAACGGAATTTCGAAACCACCACATGATCTAAATAAATTGGACTTCGCACTTGCTCAGATTGGTGCTAAACTCCCCATGAAGAATTTGCTGATGTTTGTAGAGTAGCACCAAATATTGAAAGGTATTCATGTTTTTTTTCGCGTATAAATTAGTAAAATATATATAGTACCTTTGTATTCGTTCCGCCAAGTTACAAGGAGTGGTAGTAACGTTGTTATTTGATTCGAACAATTAAATTGTTTATGATTATTATTAAGATTCTTCTATCAAAATTCAAAGATCCACAATCAATATTTACCGTAATTACTAAATTATATTTTAAACTTAATATAGAATATTGATATAACACCTTCATTGATTTATATAAGAGATAATTCAGAAATGTCTATTGGATCAAGACGGCTTTTTTGTTAACATTAGTAACTGTGCTGAACTGAAGGAATACAAGATCACAAGGTCCCACTCGATTAATACTTAAAAGCCTTCATTTAAGAAGATCCATATTGGTCGTTATGATGAAGACCCTCTTGTGGAGAAAAGTCATTTTTTTTTAGCACATCAAATATTGTTTATCAATCAGAAATATCAATAAAGAAATTGCGAATTAGTTTATTGTAGCGCAAAGCATTGGCATTGGTAATTAAAAATGAAAAAAAAATTTTTATTAAATAAATGAAAGATGTTGTCTCCTGATCAATTTATACCGTATAATATCTATTTATAATTTGGTGATTAATTACATATATCCTAGTATTCCATATCATAATGATTGTATCATATACATTAAGAAAAAATCAACAAGAAAAAAAATAAACGGATTATAATTCAAAGGGAATTATGTTTAAGATCAAAATTGGTTCATCTTTATATAATTCTAACGAATAAAATTTCATTTGAATTCATATACATAAGAAATTTCCCCTTCTTATAATTTTTAAATTCCCTATTTGAATTTTATTCTTGCCAAACATTTCTTTTGCTTACATTTTCTTTTGTGTTATCGAAAATCCCAATTTTCCCCATAAATGGTCACAAATTATTTTGAACAGATTTTTTAAAAAAATAAATACTGTAGAATGACATGCGTCATCGTTATATAAACCGGCTAACATGTTTTGTGAACAATTATATAAAATTAAACTTAAAATTAAACGATTTGTTCGATTACATCCAGTAATTCCTGTTCTTTTTTCACGTAATATTTCTTGATGAGTTCTAATAGTTTCAGCTGTGATTTCATTTATTTCTTTAATTTCCTTTTCAACTGATCAATTTCTCTTTTTTTACTTTCCAATAATTTTGGTTTCTTTCTTTAATATTTCTGGTTGCATCATCTTTTTTAATTTTAAAACTTATATATTTAAAAAAGTAGCCTTTGGTGGCCTGGAAGTACCTTAAATTCTTGTTCAATGATTTTCTATAATGTCGTTTAATTGGAATTAAAGGTTCCATCTTCCATCACAGATATTGTTACATTGCGAGGTTTTTTTATCAACTTTTGTAATAGAATTCATAATGTATCCATTAGTTACTTCAATTTCAGTAATAATTCCAAATTGATTCATTCCTCTTATGTTTGCATTGTACTCTCGTCTTAACTTTCGTGCATCATCCAAAATTCTTCATATCCATCAACATATAATCTTTGATCAAAATTTTCTATATTTAAATTAGTTTGCGGGGTATACTCTACAAAATACCAAGAACTTTTTTGAGATTCATAAGATTGTTTGTTTTTCCATAAAATCTGGGAATTTACTAGCACGAAGTACAGGCGGAAATTCTGGTGGTGTTCCCGTTTTAGGAAATCTATGGCATCAGAATGTAATTGTACAAGACGTTTACATTGCCTATGTAATGCACCAACTTCGAAAAAATCTGCTTTTGCTAATGAGCGTTCTCGGTCATACCAAAGTTGTCAGAAAAGATATAATTTACAAAAAATGTTTTGATATCTTTCATCGTTACATTTTCAACCATTCTTGATTTTTGAACCTCACGATTCATAGTACACTTAATTAAAAATTATTATTTTTTGTTTTCTAAAAAAAAAAAAATTGTCAATAACTAACAACTTAAAGTTTTAAACAATGAGAAATAAAGATACATACGTGAAATCATCACCATCTAAATCACCATCGCTAACAATAAATTTGATTCTCTTGTTATTTTTTTTTTTTTTCTAAAAAAAAAAATTGTCAATAACTTAAACAACTTAAATACTTAAAGTTTTAAACAATGAGAAATAAAGATACACACGTGAAATCATACCATCACCGCTAACAATAAATTTGATCCTCTTATAAAATTTCGGTAACATCCAAACGCCTAATAAGAATGCCCTCTTATCAACGCGAATTTTTGCCTTTTCTCATATGCTTATGAAATTTTATGGCGTATTATGGTGTTCATAAAACGATCCATAAACATAGTACACGTAGAAGACGATAAATTTGATCTATCAAATTATCAATTAAAATTTAACCTTAATTGAATCAACTCGATCAAGAAAAAATTTGCTTGTACTATTAATTTATTATAAATTTCCTAGTATTGCTTCATAGATGTCTATATATAGTCTAATGAAAGTACAACACCAGTTGCCGCTGCTTGCTGCAAGTATTAATTATGTTGCGTTATCACTTCCATCAGATTTGATTAATAATATTTAATTTTCCACATTAATCCTTTCAATACACATTGAATGCTATTGACAACATATGGTATTTGAAAAAACATGATCCAATTTATATCCAAATTAAAAATCTTCGTTTAACGAAATTGTCCACGGATTGGAACATGCAAAATATCTAAGAAAGCAAATAATATTAATAAAAAGAATAAAAAAATAATTTACAATACCATAGAATGTTAAAAGCAAATATTGTACGTACAATGCAATAAGACTCCGAAATCACAATTTACCATTAGTGAAATCCAAAATTATTTTTCAATAAGGAACTGACGCACCATAAGTTTGACTAAATTCCACCACTTCGAAGCGATATTTAAAATTTTCATTGAATGAATAAAATCATTTTAAGAAATAAAATTTCATTATAATATATATAATATATATATTATTTATTATCAATTTAATTATCAATTATTTTTGTAGTCGACAAAATCATTTGTGAAAAGAGATTTAAAAGAAGTGATTTCCTAACAAAGGAAATATCCATCTAATATCCATATTCTTGTTGGACCCGTACTGACGCGTGATCATCTTAAATTCTTTTTTTTATCTTTTAAATATTTATATATTTCCTACTTTAGGTTAAGTTGAATAGAACGAACTTGCATACGTGAAATCATCACCATCTAAATCACCACCGCTAACAATAAATTTGATTCTCCTGTAAAATTTCGGTAACATCCAAGACGCCTAACAAGAATGCCCCTTTATCAACACGAATTTTTGCCTTTTCTTAATGCCTCCTAACATCATGATATGAAATAATGAAACAAATAACGATCATTATTTCTTAAAAATCCCGCGTTAACAAAATCAACAAGTGATTATCTTTTTTTTCTAAAAAAAAAAAAATTGTCAATACTTAAATACTTCAAGTTTTAAAAAATGAGAAATAAGATACACACGTGAAATCAACACCATATAAATCGCCATCGCTAATAATAAATTTGATCCTCTAGCAAAATTTCGGTAACATCCAAGACACCTAATAAGAATGCCCCTTTATCAACGCGAATTTTTGCCTTTTCTTAATGTCTTCTAACATCATGATACGAAATAATGAAATAAATAACAATCATTATTTCTACACAGAATTATCTTCTATTTTAGATTTTTTCAGCCGTGTGTAACTAATTTTACCGAAGGTAGCGGTGGAAGTAATTGTAGTAGTACTATCAGCATAATTCGATTTTATGCACTCCAATTCAATGCATCATTATAACGTTCGTATTCGGTCTAATTATCAAGTTGGCCTACTAAAAATCCCGCGGTTGTCTTTTTTTTTCTAAAAAAAAAAAAAAAATGTCAATAACTTAAACAACTTAAAATACTTAAAATTTTAAACAATGAGAAATAAAGATACATACGTGAAATCATCACCATCTAAATAGCAATAAATTTGATTCTCCTGTAAAATTTCGGTAACATCCAAGATGCCTAATAAGAATGCCCCCTTCATCAACGCGAATTTTTCCTTTTCTTAATGTCTCCTAACATCAAATAATGAAATAAAATTCATAAATAACGATCATTATTTCTTAAAAATCCTGCGTTAACAAGATCAACAAGTGATTATCTTTCTTTTTTCTAAAAAAAAAAAATTGTCAATAATTTAAACAACTTAAATACTTAAAGTTTTAAACAATGAGAAGTAAGATACACACGTGAAATCAACGCCATCTAAATTGCCATCGCTAATAATAAATTTGATCCTCTTGCAAAATTTCGGTAACATCCAAGACGCCTAATAAGAATGCGCAAAAATTTTGCCTTTTCTTAATGTCTCCTAACATCATGATACGAAATAATGAAATAAATAACGATTATTATTTCTACACAGAATTATCTTCTATTTTAGATTTTCAGCCATGTGTAACTAATTTTACCGAAGGTGGGTAAATTTATAGCGGTGGAAGTAATTGTAGTAGTACTATCAGCACAATTCGATTTGATGCACTCCAATGCATCATTATAACGTTCGTATTCGGTCTTATTATCAAGTTGGCCTACTAAAAATCCCGCGTTAATAAGATCAACAAGTGATTATCTTTTTTTTCTAAAAAAAAAAATTGTCAATAACTTAAACAACTTAAAATATTAAAAGTTTTAAACAATGAGAAATAAAGAAACATACGTGAAATCATCACCATCTAAATAGCAATAAATTTGATTTTCCTATAAAATTTCGGTAACATCCAAGACGCCTAACAAGAATGCACCTTTATCAACGCGAATTATTGCCTTTTCTTAATGTCTCCTAACATCAAATAATGAATAAAAATTCATCAAATAACGATCATTATTTCATAAAAATCCCGCGTCAACAAGTGATTATCTTTTCTTTTTTCTAAAAAAAAAAAAATTGTCAATGACTTAAACAACTTAAAATACTTAAAGTTTTAAACAATGAGAAATAAAAGATACATACGTGAAATCACCATCTAAATCGCCACCGCTAACAATAAATTTGATCCTCTAGCAAAATTTCGGTAACAACCAAGACGCCTAATTAGAATGCCCCTTTATCAACGCGAATTTTTGCCTTTTCTTAATGTCTCCTAACATCATGATACGAAATAATGAAATAAATAACGATCATTATTTCTTAAAAATCCCGCGTTAACAAGATCAACAAGTGATTATCTTTTTTTTTTAAAAAAAAAAAAAATTGTCAATAACTTAAACAACTTAAATACTTAAAGTTTTGGACAATGAGAAATAAAGATACATACGTGAAATCATCACCATCTTAAATTTGATTCTCCTGTAAAATTTCGGTAACATCCAAGACGCCTAATAAGAATGCCCCTTATCAACGCAAATTTTTGCCTTTTCTTAATGTCTCCTAACATCAAATAATGAAATAAAATTCATCAAATAACGATCATTATTTCTTAAAAATCCCGCTTTAACAAGATCAGCAAGTGAGATTGAAATTCCACATTCATCAACATTCCTTTATAAAAAATCCAACGCCGTATGTTCACTTTCTAACTCGTAAATCTTTTAATTCAATAAATAATTCATCAGGAATTCCTAGTGCGGACAATAATATAATCGCCTGACGTTTGAGATATGTGTAGATGAATGTAGAACCTCTGATAACTTCCAACACAAGTTGGTTGACATAAAACACCCTTAATCCAATTAATAAGCAATCTACTTTGCTAATGAAAAAGAGATATTTTCTATCCCATCAGAAAAAGTGAACCCATTTCTAACTATATCAGGTATTTCTTTAATGTCGTCAATAGGTAGCTTTTGAATAGCACGAGTACTTGAAAAACACTGACCCATTCGGCAGCACATTTTGCTACACTTTTATTTGTGAGTTTCGAAATATAGTATTAAAAAAGCCAGCATCAATTCTCGTTCTGATTTGGCACTTGCGTATAAAAGTTTTGGGTATCACGCATCATTGATTAATAATGCTTGTAATTTTTACGAATATGCTGAAAATTGAATTCTGAATCTCTGGGATGTGTTCGGCTTTTAAGTGAACATTCCGTTCCAGACAAACTGTCCATAGCTCTTCCGCTATATTTGACAGCAATGTAGTCCCTGATGATTTATGTAAGCGACGCATGTTGTATTGTCCGTGCGTATCATGATCAGTTGGTCCTTCAAATCCTTGAAGACTAGAAGAGCGAATAAGATCGCTTTTAACTCGAGAATGTTGATGTGAAGATGCTATTCCATTCTTAGCCATCTTCCATGTATTACATAATCCTCCCGGGACACGCCCCAGCCGGAGGTCGAAGCGTCGGTGTATAGTATAGTCTTTGGTTCCTCTAATTCCCCATCCAAACTATAACCTTATCAGCAGTTAAATTGCCAGTTGGTGAAAAAACCAACAACTATAATCTCTTAATTGACTAGCAGAGAAAGCCAAGAATTCGCACCAATAGTGATACCATCACGTAAAGTACAATAAACTCTGTCATACAATGGTTAGAAGTATCATCATTAGATGAACCAACTTTACTCAAAACCTTATCCACAAATTGGACACGTAAAAAATGATTTTTCTTATCACGAAAATAACGGATCACCCTATTAGAAGTTTCCATAGTTGGAGTTAAAATATAACTTGTAGTAGGAGTTACAACAACTTTACGCACCATACCAAATAATATGGTATATATTTAGGTTTATTATCCATTTTATATTTTGAATTCTCCAATATCAGTATTATCACAATAATAGGAAAGTTACTAATGTCGTTATTTGAAAGGTCCATGTTTTCAATTTCAATATTACTCATTAAAATCATCTCTTTTTTCAAAAAAAACAAATAAATGAGTTTTTCAACTCAACTGGTATATAAGACCATGGCCGCAATTCTGAACGTAAATATGTTAATGGCTCATAGATCCTTTTCTTCCTTGAATAAAAAATACCTTCCAAAATATCAAGAGAGACTCCAGTATGTTGTTGAGATAATAGAGAAAAGAATTCTTCACAAAGGTTATTATACTCATTAAGGTAATTAAAAGAAATATTGCATTCGACCATTTCAATGTTTTTTAACATTGAACGGTTCACAAAATGTTTACGTAATCCCTAACAATTTTTAATGGAAAATTACCAATGTTTGAAGTTCTAGGAGCCAAATTAACTGTTTGGAGACGATATTCTCTTGTTTTTATCCATTATTTTAAAGAAGTGGTGAAAGTTTTTTTTTTTTTTCTTTTTTTTTTTGCGGGGATATTTAAGTTTAAGAAGATCCCAATTTGTATTAGTGTAGCATCACAAATGTTAGACAAAAATGTGAAATTATAAAATATGTAATGATTGAAATTGATATAGTTCAAAAAAAGGTAAAATGGACAAATAATTCAAGTTTGTAACCCTCCTATAATACGATAATGATAAAATTTACGAATCAAAAATCTGAGATAGTTATAGAATTACAATACCCCTGATCTACAGGTTTATAAATATTAATAAATAATAATAATAATATTTTAAATATTTTATATTATCATTAAATATATAATTTTCTTTTGACTTTAATGTTTTCATGTGAATTCTTGCGAATTTTAAAAATTTGATTTTCTATTTTAGATAAGATCCGCGAAAATTTGAGGGTTTTTAAGTTTCATGTCATTTATTAGATAAATTAATGTTTTTCATTATACAATAATTTTAATATATTAAATAAACATATCAGATATTTTAAGACAATGTATTATGTTCATATTATATACGCCATAAAAAAAAAATAATAAGAATCTTTTCTTATAAATACAACATTTCATCACGAATGTTCTTCCAAAAATATATAATAGTACTCTTAAATAATCATATTTCAAACAATAAAAATTTAAATCTCAAAACATCAATGTCAGCCAAATATTTTAAAGAACATTTTCCCCCTTTTAAATGTAAGACGCACTATGAATTGTTCAATGTAGAAAAACAATATATAGGAAAGGAAGAAATTCTTGTAAGAACCCTGACCAATAACGGGGAAGAACCGCAGAAATGCAATGGGGGACTGCCAGGCGGGCGGGAAGGGCATAGAAAACAAAATTGTAATGGAGGGACTGCCGTGCGGGCGAACAAGGCATGGAAAAACAAAAATGTAATGGAAAGACCGCCGGGCGGGCGGGCAGGCATGGAAAAACAGATGTTGTAATGGAAAGACCGCCGGGCGGGTGGGCAGGCATGGAAAAACAGATGTAATGAGGGACCGCCGGGCGGGCGGGCAGGGTATGGATGTAATGGGGTGCCGGGCGGAGCGGATAAGATTTTATATTTTACATTATAAGCCCTATAAAAAATTTTTTAGAAAATTGATCACATGTCTGAGTTTTTCTGGAGTAAAAACTAGAAAAATGAGAAAATTTTTTGGGAAGTTGACGATAAGTTTTCGTGTTATAAAAACATGTAAAATCATTTATTTATTATATAGTGTTAACAAACATGTAAAAATCTTTTATTTATTTATTAAAAAACATATAAAAGTCACAAAAATACAGAAAATCTTAAAAATAAATAATGCAATTTCTTGATTATTAAACTTAAGAAAAAAAAAATTTAGAAAATAATTAAATGCTTACGGATTATAGAATAAACTTTATATTTTAAATTATTACATTATACCATAAAGTTATTTTATACCTTTTTTATAAGTTTTGATGTTCCATTTGTCACTAGATTGTTTAATCTTACAAGAGCTAAAAACCTATTTTGATCTTTTCTTTTCTAATCTTGATGGAATATTTTTCAATCTATCTATCTATACTTTACCAAAATCGCCTTTTAACTTATATAATACATTTGACATTTTGTATGATCTGATAACTGAGTATCCTATAATTTATTATCCCTAGTCCAATTTTCGAAATTTTGCTGAATTACATATAATCACAATCACTGTTAGGTTTTTAATTTTTGCAGTAGTAGTAATGAAGAAAAAAATTATGGCTGAAATTTTGTTGTATCGACTCACTTACCAATCATTTTTCAATCTTATCGCACGTGAATTTTCCTTTTAATATTACGATGGTTTATATAAAACGAACGCGTTAAAATTGAACATAATCCTCGTAAATAAGTCAAATGAAGAACCAAAATTTAATGTCATTTAATTTTGCTCATAATAATATTGGAAAAAGTACAAATTGTACAAATTTCTAATTCTCTAATAAAAAAGTACTTTATTATTGAGTTAAATTTGAATAAATTTCTTAATTACTTACATAATTTTTCAAGTGTTTTTCAATCTAATAAAATTGTGTTATACAATATCTAACGCTAGTGGAAATGTAATTATAGAAATAGTCTCACTATTATCTGTTATTAAATTATGAATCTTATGATTTAAAGTGTCTATTTTATTTTATTTTATTTTTATTTTTAAAATATAGACACGACTGGAGTATAACGTTACATAAGAAAAGTTATAAACTAATAGTCTACTAAATTCTAAGCTAATGATAAACCCCAACCTCTCGGGAGGAGCCCGAAGAAGTCGTCCTGCCTGTTTATTAAAAAAAAAAAAAACCTAGACATAACCTAAGTTTTAAAGTGTCTATATAAACTCCCCCAGCGTAACCATCAAAAAAATCTCGGGCACGTGATTCATGTGATTTAGCTGTGGCTAAGTGTGGCTATAAAAATTGCACTACGCAGTTATTGCTAAATTAACTTCCTTACTTAACCCTAAGATACTCCACTCCAAAGATGATTGCTTGAGAATATAATGAAATATTATAGTTGTTGATTCATAAGAGTAAAACAAATTCTTTTAAATTAATGAAATTAGAGTAGTTATTTTATTAAAATAGAATGTAATATTAATTTAACTAAAATTTATTCAATTTCAATTTATTAAAATTCATTAATTTAAACTAAAATATTATAAATAATTAGCATGGTTCGCTTATTTTGATATTGTTCAACGTCTTCACCTAATTTATAAATAGGACTATATGACTTCCTTACTACTTTATAATACAGACTAGTTTTGCTCTTTTAGAAGAGAAGATAGCATTAATTAGGCTGTCAAAATAACAGCAGTTGCAGTTTAGTTTGTTGAACTGGTATTATTGCTTACTTGGTATTTCTACAGGACAGTACAGGTTTCATATCTTCTGCGAGTTTTGTTTTAAAAGATTTATAGCTATTGTAAATAAAACAAGCTAACTTTTTATTTTAAAAAAAAAATTGTATACTCGAACCCGTTCATCAATTAATTCCGCAACTATGATAATCGCGCTGATTTAATGTTCATTATCTTTTCATCATCAATTTTCTTCCAATGTCGGACAACTTCCCAACAACCTATTACTCGACAAGACATATTCCCGAATGAACATTTTACCGACATGACACATTCCCTAATGGACATTATACTGACATGCTATTTTTCCCGACATTATCCTGACAACACATTTCCTGACAGACATTTTCCCGACATGACATATATATTAAAAAAAAAGCGATTTCCCAATTATTTAAAATAAAATATATGGAGGAAATTTTTTTATTTGTTTATTCATATATTTATTTTAGTAAAAATTCGCAATTTAATGTACACTGTATATTTCATGATTTTCATAGTGCAAATTTTCAATAAAATAACTTGCACAACCCATTGCGTCCCTACAAAAATTTATTTTAGTTGCATTTATTTATTTCAAGTTATTTTTTAATAATTTTAAAAAAGAATTTGCCATAAGACAATTGACTTATTAAATATATCCATGTCTTATAAAGTACAACAGTTTAAAGAAACCTTTTTTTATAAAAATTGTTATAAATAGTTTTTTTTTTAAAAAAAAAAAAAACAATAAATTTAGATAAAAAAGTAATTTAAAACGGTTTTAAAAAATCAGTCATTTAAAAAAAAGAAATAATTATTAATTAAAAAAATGTATATATATAAAAACTATGCTGGACGTGAAAAATCTAATTTAAGTTAAATGGACTAACCATCATAGTAATAATTAATTTTAATGATCAGTCCAAATTACTTTAACAATATGGCAATCAAATCTCACATTGAAAAAAAAGGAAAAAAGAACTGTTAATAACAGTCGTTAAAATAAAAAATTAAAACTAAAAAAACACCCATCAGTCACCCTATAAAAATTTTATCCATTATTTCTGTGAAAACTCCATAAAAATGGGTCTTTTATGGATCCATTCACAGAAAATGTAAATAATTCGATTCGTGATATAATAAGGTTATTAATTTTGGAAATATAAGCCTTTTACGGGAAAAAGATGGAATATAAAAAATGGCTTTTTTAGAGGTCAACATATCTTGACGTGAAAAGGATCTCTGTGTTAAGATTTGTTGTTTTTTTCAAATTGTTTTCTTACAAATTTAATCTTTTTTGAAATTTTTAGTTGTGATAGCAGTAAGAGAATTATATTTATATTTATAAACATGATTGATACATTATTAATAAATTACTTTTTGTAAATCATTTCAACATGTCGGGAAAATTTCTGTCGGGATATATGTTGTCGGGATAATGTCATGTCGGGAAAACTAACATGTTGGTATAATGTCCATTAGGGAATGTGTCATGTCTGTAAAATATACATTCGGGAATATATCTTGTCGGGCAATCGTTGTCGGGCAAAGGGTAGAAAAAGGTTGTCGGGAAATCGTGGTGTTAACTCCCAGTTATATTCTTTAGAATAGTTTTGTGATTTTCATTGTAATTCTCCTTTTTTTTTATAGTTTCATTGTAATTCTACTTACTATCCATAAAATAAAATAATAATAAATAAATTAAATTAAGTCAAATTGGAAACAGGGGGAAAAGCAGACTATTCAGTCTTTTTGTGTTCTTTTTCTACTTTTTCTTCGGTCCATCATCCGAGGAGTCACAAATTTTATTCATATTCATTCGTAATTGCAGAATATAATTATCAACCGTACTGTACAGATTTACAAATTCGTACTAGTACTGAATCCCTATAAAAAATTTTATCCGTTATTTCTCTAAAAACTCTGTAAAAATGAGCCATTCACTGATCCATTCACGGAAATGTAAACAATTAGATAAATTCTTTATTAATACTTAAAAGGTGTAAAGATATTTGTTAATAATAAGGATAAGAATAAGGTAATAATTTATAAAATTATTTTCAAACCAATTAATTCCGGAATTATGAGCCTTTTACGGAAAAAGAAAAAAGACGGAATATACATATATTTTTCGGGGATCGATAAATTATTTCGGGATTATCTTACTCATCACGCGGCAAAAGTATCATTCCTGATAGACATGATGTATTATTCTTGATAGACTGTAAAATATATTATGCATATCAAGATTCTCCTGCATATCTATCAAAGAATGATATTTTTGCCATCACGCGTAGTACAAATATTAAATAGTGTTGTTACACTGCATAGAGAGTGTGACATTTTATGCAAGTAACAAATAGAGATCGGACCACAAAAAAATAAACAACGCTGCCGCCGCCATCATGGTAAGATTTACAGTTTCACAGATGATTTGCGGACGATCGTATGTCGCGACATTCAGAGAATAATGCAGATTTTTTTTTACATGTAGCACTTTTTTTATCATTATCAATCAACAATGTAAGACAAAATAAACTAAATTAAAATTATTTGGAAGTGATTAGGACGTGAAAATAAATAAATACAGAGAATGACTATGTTATAAAATTCAAGATAAATTCTCATAAATATTATCCTTCTACAAGAACAACTTAAAACTTCCCATTTCCTTTTCTTTTTCTTTTGCATTCTAATAAAAAGAATATGTTTGCTAAATTGTGTATTTTCTTTTTGATTGCGATCACAACTATGGTCGTAGGAGTACCTCTAGAGGAATCAACAAAGAATGGGACTTTGATTTCCAAAAGAACAACAGCTCCCGTCTGTAAAGACCATAACTACAGTGAGCTTGTAAACGCCTGGTGTGCCACGAAGTCATCAATGACGGTTATATGCGCAAATGAAGATTTGCCAGGCACTTTTACATCAGATACTATTCAATGTAATGGCGCCGAAGTTTGTGTTGATTATTTTTTAACAGAGAACAACGCACAAGCACAGTGTGCTAGCTTGTACATGAAATGGGACAATAAAGATGGTTTAATTTCCTGTTCAGGTACCTCTTTATATGGAAATGGAAAAACATTCGATATATCAGTCGGAGTGACAACATATGATGTGGATGGGAATCCGATACAAGTAGATCAAATTGCTATATATCTGAATAATCAAGAAATTGCAACTACCTCGAATCTACACAATGTAAGCACAATACTCCAGGATTATGAAGATGGAGTTTTTGAATCATGTTTCGCATTTAGAGGTACTGCGAGAGTAACTGGTTATTTCGCTGCTTTTGGGGCTACGGCTTAAAAAAATAGTATATTTTCTTATAGAGATAATATACTTAGTCAATTTATACTGAAGCTCGTACATATATACATGCTACCCATATTAATGGGATGGCAAACCAAACCCCATTTCCTATCCCATTTCATTTTTCTATTAATATAATTTAATTCCAAATGCATTGAAAAATACAAATATACTAAATAATAAAGAATTTCTTGGTATTTTTTCACAAAATTTTCATCATGTTTTTAATTTTAAAAAATATTTTATTAGTAAAAATAATATTTATTGGCTAAACTTTTTCAAACGAACAACTGTTATAAAAGAAAGATTTCATCAACTAACCCATCAAAAAAATCACGATCATATGATATTTTGTGGCATACCGCATATGTAGTATGTAAACCCGTACGCCCTACTAACGTTTTTAATTTAAATTTTTAAAATTTCCGGGACCACGTGGTCTTGGAAAAATATGTAGATTATTTCGTCAACCTGTTAACTTGTTTACAAAAAAAAGAAAAAATTAATTGCTAAGAAAAGACAGAAAATGTCAAAAGACTGTTTTTTGTTTTTGCAAATTTTAAAGATTATTTCATTGTTAAAAAAAAATAATTAATTAAAATAAAATAAAAATTAATTTACATTTTTTCTTAAAAATTTTAGATTCTATTTTACCATCTCTTCCTACTCCTGTGCCATCAGCAGTTACTTCTTTACCAGTAGGCGCAGATTCATCTCCAACTCCAGCATCTATTTCACTACTATTAGCGTTAGTTACCTTAGCAAAATCTACCACCGCTTGTAATTGAGTGTCATGGGATCGCCCAAGTGTAAAGACTAGAAAAAATTTGTGAAATAAAAATTATACACTATTGTTTTTAATTGTAAAACTTTATAAATGCAATACAAATACTATACAACAAATGTAAATCAAAAGGAAATATCTTGTCTAAAAGTTCTGAACGTTAATTTAAATATTCTATCCTCCCAATAAATAATTCTGGTCGTTACTAATTTCAAATCTCCAAATTTGAAATCTACAAAAAAAGGGAAGTAAGATGATATTCTTAAATAATAAAATACAAAAATTTAACAATATTCTCAAAAATACCTTTTTCAAGAGTCTCGAACGTCAATTCAAGCCTTATAACAAAAAGTAAATACTAATATGTGACAAAAGAATTCTAATAATATTTTACGTTTATCGACACGCGTCAGATGTCAATCAACACTGACGCCTGGGATACTAGTAGTAGTTTAAATTTATAAACAAATATTTTGAAGGCTTTAATTATGGTAAATTAAAGTAATATTTACAAGAAAATTTAATTTAGTACTTAAAAATAAATTTAATATACAGTATATGATTTAAATTTGTAACTAATGTGAATTCTTTCTTATGTTGTGTTAAAAATAGTATTCATTTGGAATAGCTTTAGAAATTTGTTGATTTTCCAAGAGCAAATTCAAGGTAAAATCATTCATTCTGCGAGCATAATTACTATATAGCTAATGATAAATAAATGCGGAATTAATCAATAATAATAATAATAATATACATTTTGTAAAGAGAAAATGGAAATAGATTTAGAAATATAAGTTTAGAAAGTTTAAAATAAATTTGTTCATGATGGCATGAAATTATGAGCTGTAAAATTACAAACTAATGAATAACAATGTCTGAAGAAGTTGTGCCACTAAATTACTACTTCGATCGAAAGATCTTTTTCTAGATTATTGTCTTTAGATGATTTTGGAGTACCATCTATTATTTCTTCAATGTCCTCATAATCATATTCATTAACTTCTTCATATTCTTCTTCTCCATCATCATTTTTGCGAAGACGTTTCCCTAGTACTACAACTTTTGCACACTCATTGAACGACAATTTTTTCATTGACGCAACTACTATTTTATCATTTTCAATTTGACTGTGAGTTGAATTGAGTGGTTTCTCTGTTCCTGCTGAGCCACTACTTGATCCCTCTTTTCCTTCAATGACTTGTACAATCTCAGCATCAGCAGAAATTACATAAGATAATGCAATATATATTATGTTTTTTATAGTAATTGATTCTACTTCAGGCAGGACGTATATCATGTCCAAAACAGCCATAAAATGAAAGACAAAAGATACGAATAGTCGTAAGAAATTCCAATACATAACTGCTGTGAATACTGATCGTTTGCTTTTAATATTTATTGAAACTTGAGCAACGTTCTTATTAGCGTTGACTAATATTTGAACTAAGCGGAAGGTTACAAATATATCGATAAGAAATTCCACGACAATTCCACTAGCACCGTAAGGTATAGGAGTAAAAAAGTCAACATGACAACTAACTATATCAACCTCAGGAACGTATTCAGTAGATGCCTGTTGAAAGATAAAATATGGAACCTGAAAATAATATTGGATTATCAATTTTTTTTTTTGATTTTTTTTTATAAATTATTAATAAAAAACTTACCGAAAGTGCAACTTTAATTGAAAATAATATAATACTTATCCATTTATCTGACCTATAATTATGTACATTACGTATTTGTCTTAAACGCAATATCAAGAACGCTAATAATGATAATCTCGTCATAATATTTCCGACTATTATAGTTCTCAGAAGAGCATCACATTGAATGTACGTAGCTATTTTTGGTGTCATATAAAGACCGAAATTTGCTCCCGAACGCACAATTTGAGCAAAATTAAAAATAATTTTTAGTATATTCGAAGCATTTGCCTGACGAGCTTTGTACAGCATTACCGAAATAAACAAATTGTGTAAAGACATCTACAAAAAAAGAATAAAATATTAATATTTTAAAGAAATACTTTTTAATTGATGCATATCAAATAAAAGAATTTACCATGATAGATGCACCTGTCCAAAATCCTAAATATGATTGAATCTGAATATAATTCATTTTGTATATTTTGTATAGAGATTTCTTGAAATTTTTTTTAAAAAAAACTTTAAAATGCTTGAATATAGAGTGAATCTCTAAAGTTCTTATATTTATGAACAAAAATAAATCAACAATACTAACGAAATCAAAATCTATAAATTATTATATATATTGTTAATTATCGTAAATAACAATGAACCTTGGCGAATACTGTTGAAAATTTTTACGTAATACAATGAATACAATGAAAATCTTCTGTTTCAGGTTGATGTTTTTGGAAATTTATGTTTATAAAAGTCATCATTATAAATTAAAATTGCAAAACAATAAATTGCCTTTCTGAGCTTTTCTTAACATTTAAAATTTTTTACAATTATAAATTTATAACATTGGATTTTTTTAATCATTATAAAGGATCGACTTATAAAGGTTTAAAGACAAAAAACAATATTCATTTATGCTACAATATTGAGATTAAATTTCCGAAAATCCCGAAAATTCCGTACCGTACGTCCGTACTCCGTACTTGTCCTATATATACTTAATATATTATAGACATTAATGTCCATTTAATATCAACTGTGGCTCAATAATATATATAAGTATATATCATAGGGTATAAGACAATGTAATTGTTGTAAGAGTATCCTTGTATACTGCTATGTATTTCTACTATCTTATTATTGTTTCTTTTGTGTAACAATTTATATAAAGAAATGCGTTACTAACATAAAAAAGAAGTAGATTTATATATTGACGCTTATTTTTCTTAATTCGAAACAAGATTCTGCATTCCCCGTCATATATCCAAAATTATAGTCCTTAAATAACTTGCATCTATATTTTAAAGGTTTTTTTTTTTTCTTCGGAAATTTTTTTAAAACCATTTTTTTTTTATTAAAATACTAGGGTCAATACTTGCAAATTTTGGATTCATATGTAATGAAAAGACATATTAGAATAGCAATCTTTTTTATGAAAATTGACTCATCTTGTATAATTATTCAGAGAATATTAACACGTCGTGTTCTCGTGTTCAATATATCTAACTCTATGTATTTAAAAATGCGTAATATACATATCTAAATTAACATTTCATTAAAAGAAATAAATAAGTAATGACTTACTTACTATTGTAAATCGTTTGGTAAGAATGTTAACCATCACGTTAATAAGATTTTCATTTTGATCGAAAATAAAGCAAATTTTTAAGACTAAATAAATAAATATGACATAACAGATGATATACTGATGTTTTTGAATTTTTTAACTACGCCATTCATATGAATAAAATTTGGGGTACACGAACAAATAATTTTCTCTGGTTCGTGATCATGCTCATCGTTGGAAATCGATCCTGACCTAAAACATTTAGTAAATGTTTCCTCATAATATGTATAGTCAAATTTGATGCAATTTTAATCACTAGTCAATGAAAAAAAAAATAATGTTATTGATAATATAAAAATTGTATAATTAATAAATTTTATAAAGAAACATTAATTTTATAACGTGTAAAATTTTAACAAATTATTTTTTGAGATGATCAGGTGATTCAGCATGTAGTACAATGATTTGACATCATCCATGTCGGACAGTAAAAATACTATTTTTTAATCACAAGGTACTTAAATAATAGTTAATAATATTATATCTAACTTCAAATATGATTACTAATCACTAAGCCACAACAAAGTATTGGTTATTATAATCATAAATAATATTATATTATAATAATTAAGCTCCGCACATCATCTCATCAATCTCATCAATTGCAGAATCACGAGATACAATAGATACAATGTTAGTCATCATTTTTTTACTCACGCGTCGCGATTTTTTTACAAATATATATATACTCTCAACATATATATATACCATCAGTTTTTTCTAAAAAAAAAATACTCTCATACTCTACCCTTACGCACAACCCACACTTCCAGCCTACATATCTAATAGAAGATGTAAAGGAAAGGGAACTATAAGAGAAGACCTAGAGAAAGAAGGAAAACGAGAGAAGAGTGAGAAATACACAAACAAACACGCACCATCCACCCATACCCTGTTCCTTTATATATTCTGTATTAGCAGAAAAGACCGTTCTGAAGAAGCCTAATAAACAAAGACGTCGCGTACACCTAAGAAAGGGACGAAGTGACGTCCGTGATCAAATTTTTGTCGATATTTCAGCAAAGTAATAGTAAATATTTATTTCTTTATTATTTTTATACTTGAATCTTTATTATTAATATTAAAAAATCTTTTTTTTATTATAGAGCGATAGGATAAAATGAAGATGGCATATAAAACACTCCACATATTATTTGTGCAGTTTTCAGTTGTTTTATAAACTTATTTCTTAGAGGAGTTCTTGAAAAAGGGTGCGTATCAAATANACAATAGATACAATGTTAGTCATCATTTTTTTACTCACGCGTCGCGATTTTTTTACAAATATATATATACTCTCAACATATATATATACCATCAGTTTTTTCTAAAAAAAAAAATACTCTCATACTCTAACCCTTACGCACAACCCACACTTCCAGCTTACATATCTAATAGAAGATGTAAAGGAAAGGGAACTATAAGAGAAGACCTAGAGAAAGAGGTAAAACGAGAGAAGAGTGAGAAATACACAAACAAACACGCACCATCCACCCATACCCTGTTCCTTTATATCTTCTGTATTAGCAGAAAAGACCGTTCTGAAGAAGCCTAATAAACAAAGACGTCGCGTACACCTAAGAAAGGGACGAAGTGACGTCCGTGATCAAATTTTTGTCGATATTTCAGAAAGGAAATAGTAAATATTTATTACTTTATTATTTTTATACTTGAATCTTTATTATTAATATTAAAAAATCTTTTTTTTTATTATAGAGTGATAGGATAAAATGAAGATGAAGGTGCACATAAAAACACTCCACATATTATTTGTGCAGTTTTCAGTTGTTTTATAAACTTATTTCTTAGAGGAGTTCTTGAAAAAGGGTGCGTATCAAATATTAAAAACGCGAAATTTTTTTTTTTATGTTTATACTTATACTTTATATTTGTTATCTGACTTCTTATCATTAGATCATATTTATTCCTTTTTTTATTTATCAGTTATAACACTATTTTGTATTGAAACATTAGACAACAGATGAAAGCTCTCTGAATGGTGCATTACCAGTTTTCTAGATGAGTGTAAAATGGCTCAAGAGACTTTAAAAGAGGTGTGTATTTTTTATTTGCAAAGTGGGTAACTTCCTAAGCTAAAATTAGAACGGATAACTCATTGAGTCGGGGAGTTCACAAATTTTACTTAGGAGGGTACTGGATTTATTTGTTTGGGTTGGGTAAGGGTGAGCAAAGTGGGTAATTCCTATGAAATTACCTGCTTTTTCTTTTTTATTTTATTTTTATTTTTATTTTTTTATTCCCTTTTTTTCTTTTTTTTTTCTTTTTTTTTATTTCTCTTGTTCACTTGATAACCAACTCAAGCAAATAACATCCTACTTTGTTATTGATAAAGTCTGCTAATTCTAAAGGAGGAATTGGCTATGTCTTCTTTACCATTAAATAAAAATTTAGCACACTATTAATAATTTCTTCTTTCTCATAATAGGTAAATGCAGAGATTTACAATCACTGATAGAATGAAGAAATTTCAACTTTAAAAGAAATAATATATGGTAAATAATTAACTTGAAAATTATTCTAAGAATATTATATTTATTTTTTTTTCTTTTTTTTAGTTAATGGTTCTACTAGAAATACTAATTACGAATAAATTGAATCATTTACTGCTAAAATTAAAAATATAATAGGTAATATAGCTTTAGTCGGTGATCCTGGTATGTGGTAAAGGTATGTCATTATATTAGTCACTAAAGATAAAGTCAACTAAAATCAAAAGATAACATTTAATAAAAAAAATCATTTGTTTATTTTTTTTTTTAAAAAAAACCAAATCACTTAAATATTTGATACTATTATAATGTAAAAATTTCAAATTCGGACTTAATCTATAAAATCTCCATTTTTTATTTACGCTTTTAAATGAGATGTAAACTTTATTTATATTTATATATAAAAAATCCTCTAATACAATAATAACAAAATTTAACTATATATAAAATTGTATATAAAAGTCCCCCTAGTAAAATATTAATAAATTTTAACTATATCTAAAAATGAAATTATTAAACAAAATTTATAACAAAATCACGAACTTTCATTAAAAAATTTGTAGTTTTTAGTATACTATTTCTAATAATAAGACCAAAATATCCAACTGGTGTAAAGTGTTTTATTGTAGCATATCTAGATTTTAATACATCAACAGGTGCTCGTTTTAACATTTTATTTTCATATTCTTTAATACAAGAAATATAATTTTCTGGTGAATAGTTAAGTAATGCTTGAGAAAGAGCTTCAGCATCTTGAATAGCATGTGTTGTTCCTAATCCTAATAACGGACTCATAGCATGTGCTGCATTTCCAATTAATGTAATTCGGCTACTTGTCCACGAATTAATAGTTAATGGATTGATATCTCTTACTTTTCTTAATTGTATTGGATTATAAGTTTTGAATGGATAAGTTTGTGATTCTTTTGGAACTGCTTTAGGAGCTAAATCCCATAATTCTAATAAAACATCTGTCATTTCACTCTCTGGTCTTAATTTTCAAATCATATTTTTAACATGTTCAACAACCGATGCTGGATTATTATCATCAACTTTGAATTTTTCAGTTTCTTCATTATCTAATTCGCTAGAATAAAAATAAGCTATCATGGTTCTATAATGAAGTTCATCAGAGTTGTTTTTATTCTTGAAATTTTGTTCTTGTTCAATTGGAATTAAACGTAAAACGTAATGCAATAAGTGTTTAATCTCCATTTAATCAAAGTGTTTTTTGAATTAAACTATTTCCATTGACTTTAATTAGCCTGTCTATTAGATGCTTAGTAGGTACGATAACATTTGCAACAACAAAAGTTGCTCCAATATCATTAATTTGTAATTCTGGTATTTTTTGTTTTCGAACTAAAGAAAAAAAAAATACATATCAGTTATTAGTCAAACAAAATAAATAATATTTATTTTAATTTATTAAATCTCAAATTCTTACCTGGGGAATTAACTCCACTTGCATCAACTAAAATGTCACAAAATTCTCGTGAACCATCATCGAAATTTATCCAAACACCTTCGTCAGTTTCTTTATATTTAACAAGCTTTTTACCCCATTGAACTGGAACATTTTCTAATAAAACATCTCTAAGTCTATCACGATAAGCAACAGTCACTGATAGGAAACGATCGGGGATTTCAGCGATTTCATAAATATTTTAAATTCCACTTACCAATTACCTTCATATTTTTTAGTTCTCGTGTACCGTCTGATTTGGTTATCCATTGATCAGGTGGTAATTTTTTAAGTAATGGATGATCTTCCAGATAATTACTAAAATCGTATAAATCCGCATCTTCGATCATATCATTGTACATATTTTCCGTTTCTATCTCGATAATAAATGAATCTGTATCAGTATAACACAATCTTGCTCGGTTTCCATACTTTCGCTTGATGTGATTGTAATCAAATATTGATGTTGAAAAACTCGATTGGAAGAACCCAATCGCAAACCAAGTTTTGGACGATGAATCAACGTTGATAGCATCTTTAAAAGTATCATGAAATCAGTTTATGGTATATATGTGTATTTACTATATTATTTAACATACTTATATAAAGTGCATGCAACCCCAATTACAAAGCGTAATAATTACTAAATGTTCTAAATTTCCAATCGAGTATAAAAATCATCGTAATATTTTAATGAGCGAAACGAATTTCATTACATGGAATTTTTTACTTCTGTCTGTAATTATTTTTGTATAATTTAAATAAATAATTTTTATTACTCACTAATACGTGATATAATAATAATTTTAGAACTATTTAACAAAAAGACAAAGGTCAGAACAATAACAACTAATGATAATTATAAGCGAGATTAAGAATGTGAATATCCTTGATGTTACAAAAATTCTCGGTTTTGAACTTTCATACGATGACTTTTTAGTAAGAATATAAAAATATATTTAAATTTTTTTGAAACACTCGCGTAGTACATAAAATAAATATCGGAGTAATTCATATATTATTTGCATTCATAGCAGACAGGCTTAATAAAAGAAGTTGCGGTTAAAGAAAATTTAACAAACAATAATTCCAAAAGTGTATATACAGATCTTTTCATTAACTGAATATATGCTTACATGTCACGAAAAAAATATTTTCGCAAATCATAATATGGACCGAATTTACAAGATAAAAGATTGCCTAAAAATTACGTAATCGAACCCATCCCTTAAATTATTGTTAATTGCTCAAAATTATGAGAAAAATCATTGGAAATTTATTTTAAAGCCAGATATTACAGTAGTGCCAATCTTGACTGTATTGTCAATTAATGAACATATTATTCTTTATTATGTCAACATCTCATATTTAAAATTTTATAAATTATAATTTAATCGATAAAATGAAGTGTATATAATATTATGAAAAAGAGGAAAAAACAAAAATTATTTTCGCCCAATATTCTTTTTATATCCCTGTAAAAAATTATTCAGAAAAATGATCACGTGTCTGAGTTTCTTCGGAATAAAAACTAGAAAAATGATCATTTATCGGAGTTTTTTCCAGAATTTTTCTTATAGGACAATTAATATATTGGTTGGCCCAAGATAATAGATAATATTGGAGGCAATGTGAATTAAAGCAAATTGCTAGATCAGCATGTTACTAGTTTTTTTATGCTAAATACTTGTTAATTATATTTTATTTTAGTTCATTAAATAATATGGAAAAAAATGATCAATATCAAAAACTGACAGGATAACAATCAATATTTACTATATAAAAATTTTCGATTTTTTTCAGTTGAGTCATAAAATTACTCATGTCTAATTATCAATTTTGATCAAATTAGGCATAGAATTTATACATTTATATCGATGTTCGATGAAATCCGATCGATCATATGAAATTTTGATACTCTATCGGCCGTAATTAACCACGCATAAGCTGATTTTTAAATTATCATGCATACATATCGTATTCAATAAGGCATTTAGGATCCTATTGAAAGAACTTAATTTTCTTGTATAATATCTATATCAATGAACTTTAGTTCATGTTTCTATGAAATTTATACAATATAAAGAATGTTCGCTCAGTTCAATTATGTGAAATATCAAATTTCAATATAGTTTTTAATGTTGTAAAATATTAATTCGAAATACCGTGTTATCGTGCATTAATTAAAAATTAATGAAATTTTATTTATATTTTCTTAATACTGTATTCTTTAATCTCCTTAAAGAAATTATTTTTTTCATATTTTCAAAATATAAATTTTACGGGAACAGTGAATTAGTAAATGAAAGAAAGTATTAATATCCGTTTGAGTAGGACCCCTGAATATAAAAAATTTTATATTGTGAACCTTGTCTGAGAAAATAGGTAAATTGGTAAAGTGTACAGTGTACGAAATTAGCAAAAAAATAACAGTGTATGTCAAAAATTTTATATTTATTGAAAATTTTAGTTAAAATGTACTATAAAACTTCAATGACAAAATCTTTGATCATCTTTCTCATTATATAGATCCGTTATCTCTGTAAAAACTCCGTAACAATGAGCCTTTCGCGGATCCATTCACGAAAAATGTAAATTATTCGATAAGTTCCATAATATAAGGTTATTAACTCCGGAAATATCAAATACGGATCGACTTTTTTTTATACTGTACCAAAAATTCCGTACCGTGACCCGAAAAAAGAAAAGGTGAAAAAATTTTTTCAGATTGGAAAAAAAGCCAAAGCCAACCTGAAAAAAGAAAAAGGTTTAAAGAATTCGAAAAAAACCGAAAAAAAAATTTGCGAGGAGGGACAAAAGAAAAATAGGGAAACGAAAAGGAAAAGGAAAGAAAAAATAAAAAAAAAACTTGAAAAGAAAAAGAAAAAAAAATTTTGGGGAAAAAAAAAGAAAAAAATTGGTCAAAAAAAAAAAGATCAAAAAAAAAAATAATATAAGTTATTTAAATAATAATAATAATTTTTCGGTTTTGGAGAAAAAATGAAAAAAAAATGAAAAAAAAGAAAGAGGAAAAAAAACGAAAAATTTTTAAAAAAAGAAAAAAAAGGAAAAGAAAAAAGAGAAATGACAAAATTTGAAAAAAAGAAAAAACCAAAGAAATTGAAAAAAAAAAAATAAATATTTGAAAAAAATTCGATTAATTAATGACTTGCCAATCAATCGGGTCTTAACTATAAAAAATACGATTCAAATTAATTTATATTAATTATATTATTTTTGTAAATTTTTTTTTGATTTTTTTTAACAAAAAAAAATGTTTTTACGAAAAAGAGAAAAAGGTAAAACAATCTATCGAATTATTTGATATGAGGGTTAAAATTAGCACAAACAATTATTATTATTGTTTAACCAATTAAGGTTAATAGATTGCTTTTTATATTCGAATATTGTGTGAATGTTGTTTGTAAATTGCGTAATAAAATTTTCCCGTTTAATGATTGCAAATTTAGTTAATGATGATAAGCATCAAAATCACTGTACTTGGTAAAGGATCGTAAGATATGAATTTCGTCAATTTCGTACAACTTTTCTTGTATTTCGTACATTAGTACAATTTCGTGCTTTTTGTATGATAATCATATAATTAAAAATTTTATATTTAATTATTTAATTTGTAATTCAATAAAATTAAGGCCATTATTTTTTTTTTAAATTTTTATTATAAAATCGGATACAGTATAGTACCGTCGTACTGTCCTAATTAGGTTTTGGTACGAAATCTCGAAAATCATTTGAGTGATTGACACAAGACCGACAACAAAATCTCGACAATCCAATATCTTGACAAGTCAAAATCCTGACAAGTCAAAATCCCCGACAAAATTATACCACATTTAAAATAAATATTACATATTGCAACAAATTATTTTATTAGAACACACATCACAAAATTGTCGATATAATGACTTGTCAAGATTTTGGATTGTCGAGATTATGTTGTCGATCGTGTAAAACTATAACACGTTTATTATCGGAAACGTCAGAAAAAAAAGTTTATTATTATTATTATATTTTACACGTGAAAAAATACAATGAACCATAAAATTGAACTGCAAAAGTTGCATTCAGATGAAGAATTATTTTACAGAATCAAATGTTAGTCGTGCAAGTGACTGTCGAGATTTTGATCGGATACCTCTTATTGGTTCTAATTGTACTAGTAAAGTACAGTAAATTTCCAAATCCTGTCCTTAAGTATTCAATGAAGTTTCCCTTCGACTCACATTTTTTTTGTACATATTTGATATTTCAGTAATTCTTTTTCATATAATTTCTTGTGCAATTTTCTAAAAAACTCAATCAGTTCAACTGCCTGCAAAAAATATATACGGTACTATATTTAGATTTATGAATCGTTCTTATGAAAGTGGAGTCCGTAATTATCCTGAAAAAATTATGTAATTGTGATGAAATAATTCATTTGTAATGGGAATAATAAAATTAAAAGAAAAACAGTCAACCACCGGTCGTCCTGCTGAATTGCTTGTTATACTTTGCACACCGATTTGTGTTTTTATTTTCTTTATTTCACAAATGAAAATCTTATTATAATCATCATTTATCAGAATTAAGATGGTTTTTTACTATTTATTGTTAATCGTAATACATGAATATAAAGTTTTATGAATTATTTCACTATGTTTTAATGATTATTTTATAAAAAAAAAAAAAATACAATCATTTTTCCTACATTACATATTCGTATGGTCCTAGGCCAACAATTTGGTCAAACTATTGTTGTATTAATTGTCTATAGGAAAACCGAATTATTTTGTAATTAAAGAATTAAAGTGTGCAAGTATGTTTTAATGCACGGTTAAAGTGTATTTTTATATACTTAAAATATATTTAATTCGAGATCCGGCTATAAATCAGTGAAAATTACTATGGGCATATGGGCCGATCTAATCATTAATCAATCAACGCACCTGACACACCTCATTTGCCCATAGACCGGTCTAGGCCTTTCCTTTTTTGGGATAAAGATACAGTATATGTAGATCACCGACTAAATATATGCCGCACCTGCTACCTGGGTTGATTGATTAGAATTCCAAAAATTGGCGAAATTTTGTACATCATTAATGAAATTCATTTAATTGGCATTTTTGTGGGTAAAGGTATCACTGCAACAAAATGAAAATGTTACGTAGTATTTTATAGCCAGCTTTCGAATGCATTATTAATTTCCCTTCCGATGAAAATTAAAAAATGGCTTGTCTTTGTGGCAACGGCAGATTCTTATCATTTACGAATTTTAACTGATAGACATCCGGATCAACGAATTTAAAGAATATTTAAAATATCACTTATATTGTACTTAAAAATTTCGGAGAAATTTCTAGATAAATTTCGGTATATCAATTTCGTTGTGATCATTTTATTATAAATATTCCACAATTTTCATGTTGGAATTCGTCAAAAAAATACATTCGAACAATTCTTATCAATAATTTACAAAAAATTAAAATTAAAATTATAAAAAAGAAAATAATACTATACGAAAATGCAACAAGAAAAGGTTCCAACCGTAATTATTGTCGGTGCAGGTCCGGGAGGGCTTACTCTTTATCATTCTTTGATAAAAAACAAAGATAAAAAAGAATTCAATGTAAAGATCTTTGAACGAGAATCTGGTCCTAAAGGTAAATAATTTGTATGAAATTCGGAATGTCTTTTATATTCAATATCACGTGACTAACTCAAACTCGTGTTAAAAAACATTAGATCGATGGCAAGGTTATCATATAGGATTTAAATCTCAAGGATTTAAATCACTTATGAATTGTATTCCATCCTCAGTCGCTTTAAATCTTCCAAAAGCAATTCCAAATCCAGTTCCTGGTGTAGAATACCATGGAACTTCATTTAGTGATCATGAAGGAAATCTTTTACTAAGACCTCCATTTAAACAATTTAAAAATATTTATGAAATCGCTGAAATCCCAGATCATTTCCTATCGGGAACTATTGCTTATCGTGATAGACTTAGAGATGTTTTATTAGAAAATGTTCCAGTTCAATGGGGTAAAAAGCTTGTTAGATATGAAGAAACTGACGAAGGTGTTTGGGTAAATTTCGATGACGGTTCACGAGAATTTTGTGACATTTTAGTTGATGCAAGTGGAATTAATTCTCCAAGTAAGAATTCAATAAAATAAAATATTATTTATTTTATTGTTTGACTAATAATTGATATGTATTTTTTTTTCTTTACTCTTTAGTTCGAAAACAAAAAATACCAGAATTACAAATTAATGATATTGGAACAACTCATGCTGTTGCAAGTGCTGTCGTACCTAAGCATCTAATGGACAGGCTAATTAAAGTTAATGGAAATAGTGTAATTCAAAAATTACTTGGATTAAATGGAGATTCAACATTTATTGGATTACGTTTAATTCCAATTGAACAAGAACAAAATTTCAAGAATAAAAACAATTCTGATGAACTTCATTATAGAATCACGATGTTTTATTTTTATTCTAGCGAATTAGATAATGAAGAAATCGAAAAAATTAATAATAATCCTGCATTGGTTGTTGAACATATTAAAAATATGATTCGAAAATTGAGACCAGAGTGTGAAATGACAAATATTTTATTAGAATTATGGGATTTAGTTCCTAAAGCAGTTCCAAAAGAATCAGAAGATTTTCCATTTAAAACTTACAATCCAATACAACTAAGAAAAGTAAGAGATATCAATCTATTAACTATTAATTCGTGGACAAGTAGCCGAGTTACATTAATTGGAGATGCAGCACATGCTATGAGTCCGTATCTAGGATTAGGAACAACACATGCTATTCAAGATGCTGAAGCTCTTTCTCAAGCATTACTTAACTATTCTCCAGAAAATTATATTTCTTGTATTAAAGAATATGAAAATAACATGTTAAAACGAGCGCCTGTTGATGTATTAAAATCTAGATATGCTACGATAAAACAAGTTACACCAGTTGGATATTTTGGTCTTTTTATTAGAAATAGTATACTAAAAACTACAAATTTTTTAATGAAAATTCATGATTCTGTTAAAATTTTAGATTTAGTTAAAATTCATTAATATTTTACTAGGGGGACTTTTATATATAATTTTAATTTTGTTATTATTGTATTAGAGGACTTTATATATACAGTAAATATATACTGTAATAAATACATCTCGTGACGGTAACGCACCACCAATTTACAATTTACAATAAAAAAATATTAAATAAATCCCCCCTGTCTAGAGTTTTCTTTTTTTTACTAGTTAGGACCTGTAGTTTTTAGGTGAAGTTCAACATTGTTTTTTTTTGTATACATCGGTAGCTTATAAAATGTTCAATGTAGTGCTCCTAGCTAGCCATAAAATAAATAAAATAAATATTAAATAAAATCAATAAATTCTTTAACTAAAATTAATGTCCAATTGTTCCGTGTTCAACTTGAATAAGTTTTATTTTCAGAAAATAAATAACAAATGAGCTCTTCCTAGCAACTCAAAATCTGTCTCGGTAACCTAACATGTCTGTTAAAGTGAACCTAAGTGAATTTCGAGGCGATATTTTTAATTGATGTTGATAGAATTATCTCTCAGCTAAAAATATTTAGATCTTTTAAAATAATTTATTTAACCTAATTGTTATTTTTTTTAACTAACGACGAATTTACGTAAATTTTCATTTTAGTTCGGAAACAAAAATTACCAAAATTGCAAATTATCGATGTTGAAGTAGCAAAGGTATTATTGTACCTAAAGATTTGGGAGTAGTTTAGTTCAGAGAACACCTGGATTAAATGGAGATTCAACATTTATTGCATTAAACTTTAACTTTATATACAGTATCAGTTTTATTGTTTTTCAATCAGTGTATTATCATATATCAGCCATGGACGGTGAATATTTATATTTGGATCTTACATATTTTGAAGGGATTTCATTTCTTAAATGGATTAAAGAAAATAATTAATATCGTACGTTCAAGGTTTGGTTCATTCTGAAAGACTATTAGTTTGGGGCAACATCGTAATGTTGAATTGACTTTGTGTTTTTAACCTAGCAAAGCAATGACGTAGGAGTGAATTTGATTACAGCATATCGGCATATCAAGTATAATGATCAGTCGTTCATTCAGTGATTTCGTGTCACTTCATAATTAACAACTACTCTTAGAATTACATTTCATTTTAACTTTGTTTCGGTTAAATTAATTTCGTCAAAAAATATGCTATCTATTCCTCCTTTTTAATTGATAATGCCTTATCCCATATCGACATTTTTCATGTACAATAATAAACCTGAGAATTTTCAGGTTTATTGCGCAGAAAAAATAATGTCGGTCACGAATTTTTTGATCTACGAGATTTTGTAACTGTGGCTTTATTTCTTCTTAAATGTGGCGAAATTCCCGATATCGGACCGATAATAAAAAAACAATTACCGCATATTTTGTAGAGATTTCATAAGAATATATATTAAAATTATACGATAGATACATATGGTTGTACTTTTGAAATTGTCATTTCTACTGTTTATCGGTCGGATGTTACGTTTTAATATGTACCCATGAGTAAAAGGGTCAGTGTCCTGATTTGTATCAATAGATTAATCTATTTGCCATAAATGTAGAACAAGATGAGAAAATCATATTTTATAACCTTCAATTCCTTTTTTTGTACCGAAAAATATATATAACAAATTGCAAGATAACTTTCGATAAATAGTGTATATTGCTCCTTCAAATATTTTTTACAAACAATTTGAGCGTTTCTTTTCAATATTAAAAATATTTGAACGTGTACTTTCGTACTATAAATATATATAATTGCCAAAATTAGAAACAATAACAATTTTAAGTCATTACTGTAATACTTGGATCAGGTACAAACGAGTATTACACCAATTATTTCCCCTATCCGTGAAAAAGGCTTAGTTGTGTGAAAAATTTCAATAAATGATTACTGATTAAGTTTCAATTGATGTAACAAATATTACGAAAGATTAATCTTAAAACTGGAAGAAATATTCCACGATGGATTGATGGATTGATAAATCTATTATTATTAGTCGGCATTGCAAACCAAACCATATATGGCAATCTATTATGACACATCGATAGACGATCACAAAAGTTTTTAAATAAGGAGTGTTCTTTGTAATAAAATTTTCATAAGACTCATTTAATTAAGGATAACCATTATTTTTCTACTACAATCTCTCGAAAAAACCGACATTAGATCATCTTCAAACGTTAATATCTTGAAAATTTTCGATCATTTCGAGCGCTTCAAACATTGAACGTGTCCACATGGAAAAACATTTCCAAATTGGAATATGCAAGCCGCCAAGCCCCTAAAGCCCTGATATTGATTTGATCACCAGAAAATCAGCATCTTAACAGCCTTACCGTTGACAGATTTTTTACGTAAAGAAAACAGCAAGCCACCAAAGCCTCTAAATTTATTGATTTGTCCACACATTATAAGCTAGATCATATGCAAGTTATTATAATCAGCCTTCGTTAACTGGTTTTTACAAAAAAAAGATCGCAAATTTTTTTTTATATAAATACATGCTATCCATTAAACGATTTTTATTACATCTTTATTACATTCTTTAATACTCTTTATTATTCTTTTCTTCTTTTACCTACTTTGGTACTATAACTACTGAATTCATATACATTCCTTTATATACGGTATAATAATGTACATTATATACATTATTATACATTCCCTATCACTTTTTTCGAAAATAATCAAAAATTACCTTTAAATACATACATACATATATGTATTCCTAACTGAATTTTGTATAGTTATAACATCATTTTTCAATTCCTTTTTGAAGAAAGAACATAATAAACTCACTCAGGGCAAGGCTTAATCTCAAATAGGACTTAGGACTACGACGAACTGTGCTCTTGATTATTATAAATTTTACTTCCGTAAAATGTAAATAGTTGTAAGTATGTAATATATTATTTAATTTTATAAATTAATTTGAATGAATTATTTATTAATTAAATATATTACAATAATGATGTGTAGTATTTTTTCGGACCAATATTCCTATTTTTAAAGGCTGGTTTTGATTAGAAAGAGGAGGATGCGCTTCTCCTGTTTCTATTTTGCACGGGATCCTTCTAATATCAACTGGTACTTTGATAGCTTTGCTCATCTTTCCATTAATTCGATGTCATTTATCTATCACGATCCCCGACGCGTAATAATTAAACGTTTTATATAAAATATAATAATTATTTAAATTTTATTTAAATTTTATTTTTAGAATTACATTTTAATATTAATATAATAGTACATTATTTTATAGATGATATAGACGTATAATTTTTTATAGACATTTAGATTAAATAATTTTATAGAATAAAGATTATTAATTTTTACTGATTTTATATAATAAGGTGATTGATCAACTTCTAGTATGTGGGAAATCTTTCACCTCACGTTCAAATAATTATTGATTTCGTTCCACGAGTACATAAATGTTAATAAATTTGTTCGCGCCACATCATACCATTATTAAGCACGCCCGTGCAATAGCATACAAATACAAATATTTTTATTCGTAAAGAAAGACCAATGTGAATACCAAATATTTTCTTATAAGATTTTTTCTTTATTTTTTACAAAAAAAAAAAGAATATCATTCTCATATCAAGTTTATAACAAAATTTCTAACAATAAAATATTACTTATAATTATACTATTATTTTGCGTTTATAAGTTTTATTTATTTTATTTCTGAAATTATATAAATATATATCATCGTAATAGGTTATTCGTTCTCTCTATATATATATATTTGAACACATCTTACTTATCTAAAAATTCATAATGTGGGTCCGATCTGAATATACGGAATTTGGAATAGACGTTAAAAGAATTTTTAAATTTTGAAATTTAATTAAAGTTTTGTATAATATTACATTTATTGATAATGGATCAGCAGGTATTAATCATGACGCTGAATGATATCCGATATAACTCGTATACGCTTAACGACCGCTTACCCTATAAAAAATTTTTCCAGAAAAATGATCACGTGTATGAGTTTCTTCGGAATAAAAACTAGAAAAATGATCATTTATCGGAGTTTTTCCCAGAATTTTTTTTATAGGGCTAGACTTAATTCCATAAGAAAACATTTACTGACCTAACACAATTTTTTTTAAAGATTACGCCCTATATATGCCTGAAGTGTATCAAAAATCTAAATGTCAACAACTTCAAAAAATTAATTATATTAACCATATACGGGCACCAGTCCCCATGTGTAAAGCAGCTTTCAAGCTATTAAGTAAAAGTATATTTGATGGAAAAGCTAAAATCTTTTGTTAAACTAATATAGTTAATTTAGTTAATTACAATAAAGATTTGTTAGATATTTTTTTAAGGGGGATTAATATATTAGAAGTATTTTTATTTTTCAGAAACACTCAGACTACTGATATTTGATATTTTTAAAAGTATTAATACTTTATTAACTAATTGTATTAGTATAAATAAATTATATAAAAAATTTCTTAATATCTGATATATATAAAGTATTTTAAATATATATGGTATTAAATTATGTAAAAAAAACTTGATAAATATAACATTATTTTTTAATTATTATATTATTATAATACTCAAAGGGAGCGGTGCTCCTTGACCTTATTTAAAGGATACATTATAAATAATTTACACCCTACCCGCCTGCAAATATACCCCATGAGTCTAACCAAATCTAAACTATAACCGGCCTGCCAGTCACATATAATATATTACCTAATTAAAATTAAAATTCTATCTAATATATAAAAAATAAAAAATAAAATAAAATAAAAGACAATAATCAAATCACAAACCAAAGCTTCAAAATTCTAAAAACAGTCCTCCTAACGATTTCGACAGTTTATAAGTCCAAGGATACATGAATGATTCTTGGCGAAAATCCATGCCTGATCCTTCATTTTCATTAGAGCCCGTGAGAAACGTTGTTGCGGCGAAATCGTTATTGGAGGGCTCTCATGATTATCAATGCGATTTGGGTTATCTTATATTTCAATATCGTCCTGTGCAGAGGAATATACTTGGTTAGTTCATTGAAGTGGAAATCCCATGCGGTGTTTGTTAGTAGTTTGGTGCATATAGTGATGCCTTTGCTTCGTTTAATATTTAATAATTTTATAATTCTGGTTGTAGTGGCTGAGTCAATCTTTCCCATCATTGCCTCCTTATACAAGAATGAAAATTCTTCTGAACAGGCTGACTTACCTATTATTTTATTTAGCAAATTATCAACCATCGACTGTTTTATATCTAAACTAGAATATGCGATTTGCCGGGGGACTTCGTCCCCCAAATATAACATTTATAATTAAAAAAATTCTTTGATATAAATAAATTGAATTGTATGTAAAATCACTAAAATATTACTGAATAATAAAATTTATTATAATTAGATCCTATAAAAAATCATGTTTTTAATAAGGTTTTATACAATTTTTTCTTAAAAATAATATTTCTAATCTATATAGGAATACAGAAAATGCACAATTCCATATTACAAAATGCATCATTTGCATGATTTGACCATAATTTATGCTGAATTTATATTGATTTGATCACAGAAATTACATACTTTAAGCATAGAATTTACATGATTTGGTTAATGAATTTACTACTTAAATTACAATTATTAATATTAGTTGCATTTATATGAATTTGATTTTAATAATATTTTATTAAATTATTAAAAATAAAAAAAATCCTTAGTATCAATGTGATTATAATTAGCCAATAATATAAATTAATTCTTATGATTTAAAATAATGATGCAAGTTGTAATAAGTGTTTTAAAGTTAATACAGCTACAAAAAAATGAAATCTTATAAAAATTAATATTCAAGTAGAATCAACCCGCCTGAACAACTTTCAATTAATAAATAAAGTTGATTTCATTTGTCCAAAGT